TCGGCAAAGCATACACGAAAGAGAAGCAGAAGAAAAATACGTGTAGAAAAGTATACGAGTAACTAAGGGACTTATATTCCAAAGTCACCAAAGAAGTCATATAGAAGACCCAGTAAGACCTTCTAAGGGTGCTAACCGATCCCAGGCCAGTTCAAGCATTGGAAGCCGACTCGGATTTTGACGATTATAAGAGCACAATAATTCATCCAGTGTCAACAACATAAAATCTATGTGCCACTTGCATATGAGGCGGACGTATAAACCAGAACAAAGGACAATAAGCCATTGTTGCAACCAACAGTCCAATAGCGACCTGCTCAGTCTATATCTGGAGCGGTGGTAGTGGTCCCTGGGCAGTCAAAGCAACAGTTCAGCAGCAGCCTCTTTAGCCTGCATCGACAGCAGTCCCCGGGACAATCAAATAAACAGTTCAGCAGCACTCATTTCAGCCTATATCGGAGAAAAAAAAGTGTAAATACACACATCCACACTCGGTCAAAGCGGCATCCTCAGGTAACCATCATCGCCCTGCAGTTACTGCTGCGAGCGAAAAGCCAAATCAACAGAAATAGCTTCACACGGGGTAGCCGGCCAGAGTAGAAATGATGTACCCGAAGATCTGTTGTAAGAATCCCCTGGCGCCTTCGTTTCATCAATTCGTGCACAGACGTCCAGAGATTCTCCCTTCTAAGGCCCATACAATACTTTCCAAAAAAAAACCCCCCAACCGATGGACATACGATTAGCATCGTTCTAACCACCCTGCAAGATCATCGGCGTCTTCTTTTGTTCTTCGTCTGTTCTAACAAAGCAAACCAAAGAGATCACATATCATTATCTACACTGATTCGAAGCGCAAAGGATGTATACAGAGACTTCAGCTCGAACCACTCGCCAGTAGTACTAACCTGTCCCACACGAAGGAAAATAATATTACATACAATGGACATCCAACAGTCTCCTATCCGCAAGATGCCACCAGAACCAGTGCCACGGCCACATTCTCCGATAGTTGCCGTCGTTGTAGATGGTCACTATCCAACATCATCTCCAAAGCAAGACGCCAGTACATCAATGTACAGATAGCCGGTTCCTAATAGTAGAAGCCATGACATTTATGGTTGCAGTTTGGGTTGTTTGTTTGTTTTCCTAGGTAAATTTTGTTTGCTATTCGGTGTCTCGGCAAATGGACTGACTCGTACATCGGGTCACCAAAGATACACACCTCTGAGAAAATCTACCATGACAAAAAAAAAGTACCCAAAAAGTCATGTTTGTAAAAAACTGTTGATTTCTCATTAGGAAAGACCTACTGAAGTATGCTACAACCGCTTTATGCCAGATGGTACCAGAATTGATAAACGTAATAGATTCCTTGCTCTTAAATGTGTAGTGTATCCTATTTATACATATAGCTGTACAATATTTTCCATAGAATTACCGGCAAAGCTACATAGAGTGGAAGCAAACCGTGGATGATATGGAAAGTGAACTCAGAGGTCAGCAAAGAGATATCCTTACTGGTTTGTACAAAGATCGGTCAGTGCTACACAACTTCAGATCTCGAGAATGTAAGACAAATTTTTCTAGAGTTGTAGCAAGTCTGATACCCGGTGTTGGTGTGTATCAAGTGCCGTTGCTCACGCTTAGCAATCTACCGATGCAAAATATATTGCAGATGTATACAAAATGAATTAATCTACCCATCTCAGGAAACAGCAGAAGAATGAACAGTAACAAGGGACACCATATATAGTTTAATAGCCCTGGGAAAACGAACACACTCTTGTCTTACCAAAAATACTACGTGATGATTTAATAGGCTCCCTCTGAGAACAAGTTGGTATTAGCATTTTTCTTTTTTGATGAAGCATGCTCTCTGCGCAATTGAAAATCACTATGTTTAGAGTGTTGCTTACCGAGATATTATAAACTTAGGAACACGCCTGCTTTTAGAAAATTTCTTTCATGTTGAAGGATTTATACGTCGTCTGTCTTGTGCGCAAAGAATTTCACTCCAGTGTGAGTTTGGTGGCACAGGATTGGGAATGGCAAGAGCGAAACGGTTAGAAATACAACAACCTAGGTTCTCCAATGTCAAAATAGTGATATGTACGCAAAGACGAAGGGAAATAATAAAAGTATATCAGTGTATCAATGGGCGACGCTCAGTATTGGTCAGATTGCGCGGCGGTGTGTAGTTATATACTTGACATATACTTTTGTAGACAACAATTGATACAGGCTAAAAATTATCATCAAGGAGTTAATTAAAAAAGTCCTGGACGATCTGAATATAGAATCTTGATCATTTCAAAGTACAAAGATAGCTGTTGAACACAACGACAACAGTATACGATTAGTTTAGAATTCAAATCGTGTTAATGGCAAAATCATAACATTGTCCTGTTTATCACCGGAAGCCAAGAAGTGAGAATGCTTTATGAAATGAATTTATACCTTGATAATCGCTATTGTTTCTTTGCTGAATACAATAGAAGACTCTACCCTTTTAAAGTTTAATGATGAAGAATGCGTTGAGTGAGATCACTCTGGTAGCAGTAACATCAAGGTGTGAACAGGAAATGCAGATTTATTTCAATTCAAAACTGGTTTGTTGAGTCTGGCATGCCTGCGAAAACACCGAAGACTATAGCTCAACCCTAAATACCCTAATGATATTTTTGTGCCAAAAGAGTTCTTGAAAAGAAGATACGGCCCAATAAATATCAAGCATTACATGCACCTGTCATGTAAATACAATCACCTCTAAAGTGTGTCCTAAGAAATCTATCCAAGGAAGTAGTCAATACAGCTTTTCTTCTATTTTGTATAGCGAAAGAGTAGTACAAGACTTGAGAACCTAGAATGATATACTCTCTATCTATATCTATCTAACAACAAGTTTTGATATTTAGATACTGAATCTTTGTATGTTAGATGATTTTTTCACTTGGATACAGAATAGTTCCTCTAGGATCATTCGATATTATAGATTGAATGTTGACCGACAAAACAGTCTGCTTAGTAAATCATGGTCGTATATCGGCTTATCAGTTGGCAATTGATACATTGTTGTGTGTTGCATATGTTTTCGTTCATACAGGGAGAAAAGACCTGCGTGCGCGCGTGTGTATGAGCTTATGTGTAGAAGAACGAACAGGAGGGGAGGTAAATGTACAGGCCACAAGCATTGTAAGAGTATACAAACAACAAAATCAGCGATTGCGGTTACAACTCTATCAGACTACAGGCCTAATCTCAACAATTAAATCACCTCGCCATGTAAGCAGCTCAATTTGGATTCTTTTATAGCTATGATTTAATGCGTATCGATACAGCCTGCTTGTCCTCATTCCAATTAACTCTCGAATGAAACAAGGTTTCATAACAGAAAAAAGGTATTGTGGATGACCCGCCGTTGAAGGTCGGTTGGGTATAAATCATTTGTCAAACTGTTGTGACATGTAAACAGATCAGAGAATGCCGATGGGTGTGCTCTCCTTGTATATATTTGTTGTAGCAAACATAAATATACGACTATGCACAAATATAACATTACACATTGTCAAATATTCACTTTTTGCATGTATAGTAAGTACATTATGCTTCCCTCAACTGAGATTCAGTGAGATAATTGCTACATGTTTTAGTGGCCCCACAGAAAAGCTTAAAAAAATGTGTACAATGTATACAGCAGACTGTATCATACTATATATGGCAGGTTAGCTCCGTTTTTGGTGAATAAATACATTCCGTTTTTCTCAATGACAAATCAGCAGCAAAGCCATGAAGCCATTGGACGGTAAGGGCCACAGCGAGTTAGCAGTTATATAAACTATATTCCGTGGATGAATTTAAAGGCGGCCGAAGTATTTAGGATATTGGAACGCACAAACTCTAAAAGACGATCATCAAGGGTTTGTAGGAGAGTCTAGAACAAGCACACAAATACATATACATAGATATCGCGACACTCCGTTTTCAACAAGCTTTAGCTGGGTTGAGAAATCGGATGAATGTCGTCTATAAAGTCATGTCGTAGTGGTAGCGAACAAGATTGCTAAAACTGAAACGGATGACTTCGTCTTCCGACGATCCCTACCCTGACGCAACCATCTTATAACTAATTGATCATTTAAAATTATCCCATTCCACTTTACACAGAGCAATCTAATTCTCCAGCATACTAGATACACTTATATATCACACATACGGTTAGATCTCACCTTTTCCAGTTACTCCTGTCAAATTGTGGGAAGTTCCATGATGTAGTCTGATACCTCTGATCGCCTGTGTATCATGGTGTCATCTCACAAAATCTCTCGGCACTTCACTCCAAAAGCCACAGACCATTGTACAGACCTATGACGACACGTCGGGCAATATACTTCGACTACATAAACGACACCTTTTAAAAGGGACTAGTGTGTACGTATTCCGGTTTTAATACACCATCTATGGAGCCTAGAGCATGATGATTAGACCAGATCTATGATATACTAAAATGCTTATGCTACCTAAGCTAAATCGATTCAATACTCCCCAAAACCCATTGAACGACTCTCTCATCTTGAATAGTCTCGACGACATTATCAGATTAAGAAACATAAAATAGAAATTCGCAAAATACGCTGAACTATTGCTTCCAAATTTTTATTTTAATATTTCATATAACATGGGATGACGTTATATTTCCAGCAAACCTATTTCATTTTACTAAATTTGATTACTGTAGAGGTTCATCTTCAGACCACAATTTGTTTGGTTTTGCAGTCAGAGCACCTCAACAAAAGATATTGAGAGCCAAACATGGGTTCGACACTGAATACCGGCTCCTGATCGCAGCCCTCCCTGACCGAGAAAGCGATTCAATGAACGAGATATAAGCAAACAAATCGCATTACAAACGGAAAACAAAAGTATATTGACGGACCTCGGCCAAACTACTATACATATGTTCGATCTAAAAGCATTCTGCTCGATAGCAAGAGCAGTTTTCACCAATGCAACACATACTTGTGTAGATTCACGCAGTCGTTCAGAGATTCGCCGAAGCCTTGCAGAGTCGTATGATCCACCTGTTTGGCATCAGAGGTCATTCTCATTACTAATTTGCATTCGATTGCCACGTATGGTTTGCGCCTTGGTTGCGCTCTGGTTTGTGGGATTACTAATTTACCAAAGCAAAATCCCAAAAGCCCCACAATTTGACCTTCGAAGTGAAGTTGTCCTTTCCCGCGAGGCTGAGTATTCTAGAGTGCGCATGTACTCCATGTATTGTGGTTATGTCCCACATACGGCACACAAAGGTCTACCACATGATATCGACGCTTGTGGCAACTTCGAACATACGATTTTAGAAACGAAGTTCATCGATCGCGACGATCCTGGTGCATTGGTATAAATGGCTCACAGGAACTTCTAAATGCATGTCAAAACCCATAAAATGTCACCTTTGGCAAACCTCAAACCATCAAGTGATAAGACGCAAATAAAAATAAAACAAGGGCACAACTTGCTATATGTCCGCCACGAAGTCGGTGACAATAGACAACAACTGCTACATGAATCAAACACAACTGATCAAAGATGTCGAACAAAACTCCATGTCTGTCATCAAAAACGTATAATTGGACAACCGCGTAAATACCACCAAATGATGCAGAAAAGATGTCTCCCAGTTTCACGCTAACAGGGGCTAACTAATCGAATACTCAGAACATCTTGTCACGCAATCGACAGACGGTATATTCAACCGTACACTAATCAGTACGTGGTTCACAGGAAGGTAAATATCACACTTCTTCACACAGAATACACCCGTCTTTAAACCACATGCAGCACTACATGTACATATATACCTGACAGTCTATCCTCATCCCACAGGCACAGAATATTACTTGCTTGTTTTGTCTCAAAGGATGAGATAGGCATATGGGACAGCACACAGTTGCCTCAGCTATCATTGTTTGTCTGATTTCTTGGTTGTTGAGGTATGCTTCCTGCTCCGCTAGAAGTAGATTCTCTGTTGGGAATGAAACGTCTTAGTTCTCATCCAATATTTGCACATGATATGACATCCATCATCCATAGGCACAGGGAGATATGTCACCCAAATTGACAACTCTCCATAAATGTGTACGTGTTTTCCTTCCAGGGACGAGGACAAGCAAATATACAAAAGCCTTCCATACTACCTCAATAAACTAGTGCCGAAAACGATCTAAAAACGCTTGTATTACGACCCTTAGCCTTCTACCATAGCTTTCGTCTAATCAGGCAACAAACGGCACACATAAAATACACGAGATACACAATTGGGAGATGCAGAGGTGCCAGGTGCCACCACAAAGATCAAAACCCTAAAACCTAAAACACTAAAAACCCTAAACCCTAATACACAATTTAGAGGTTTGATGCAGAGGTGCCACCACAAAGACCAAACTAATCTGAGCCGAGAGCACGATATATAAATGCGTGCGTGCATCACAGCGACAAAAGTAAGTGTATACTGATATCACACGGGTGTTTGAAGAATAGTCCGTTCTGGGTACCGCACTACCTACACACATAGGACAGTGAAGTTTCTTCTGGGACATGTCGGCCAAGAAGCAGTCTATCAGTGAAGTGCAAGCCATAAACCAGCCCAGTCAATAGATACTCAACCGCCCAATCAGATTGCAAACCTACACAGCGTCTCACAGAGCTGACTAATATCACTGCACACCTTCTTGTCGCAGTTCCTCGGATATTTCATTCATGATTTGCACTAGATAATCTGGATCGAGTGTCTCATGCAGGTCCACACTTGCATCTATCTGCATTTTAGTCAGAATCTCGTGCTTGATATTATCTGGATAGTTTGCGTATCATAAAGGAAATCAAGGATTAGTTAGACGCAGAAGAAATTTTAATTAAGGAATAAGTTGGGGCGACGAGGAGCTATAAGATAACGAGTTGCAGATTTATACGCGAGTGAGAATGTATTTTGAAAACCCGAATATGTTATCTTACTTCCGAGAACGAAAATATATGTTTACTTCTGGTACGGGCAGACTCTGATAATGAGAGCAAAGATACAACAATATTTATACTTACAATAACTTTATATTTGCACACAAAATGGGAGTATGTGTCATCACTACATACTCAACATATATATACACATATGCAATCTTAAAATACAATCGCATTCAATTTAGCACTCAACTGACAAGCTACCAGTTTATATATACTATACACATACTGTTATGTAATGCAGCCACTGTTCTCAAACCAGTGTAATTGTGACTATACCTACGAGCGTAGTGTTATATAGACCTAAAAAAATTGGTACACACTTCGATCCGGGTACGTATGTAGGGTTGGAAAGTAGCGTAGGTTCATATACGTGAATACGCTTACACTTTAAAATGCTGTATAATATCGCGTACTTCGACTGTACTATACATGAATTGAGATTGAAAGCGCAATTGTAAGATACAATCGCATTGACACCGCAAATAAGAGCGGTGTTAATAAATAAAACAATTGCACATTCTCCAAGCCTTCAGCATTGCTACTGGTGATAGCGACAATACAAGACATCTAAGACCACACGCCCATCTATGTAGAATTGATTTCCGCCACAGATCCGCTCCTACATCAAGTGATTGATGAATGCCAAAGCACCGGATATTCAAGCACAGCTTTATACCGAGATATATTACAGGACACACAACGAACAAGCCATTGCATCCTCACCCCACACGCACCTACTGTGGGGACAACATCTGTGGCATACCAGTTTGTGCAGGTGCTGGTGCATTCTGCCCTGTCGACGACACTCTCCGCCTTTGGTCCAGAAGAGTTTGCCTTGCATTTGAGAGGCGCTCTTTGTATCGCCTTCTAAGCTCATCCTGGTCGTATGAAGCGTTTAAGGATACATAAGCTAGGTACGATCTTTTATTGCTTATGCACCGTCGTATGAACAGGTTGGAAAGCTCGCTGTCTCACTGACTCTCGGAAGAGGAGTGAACAAGTAGTCAGAAATATTATGTCTATGGAATGAGCTTGTAGTTTTCACTAAACAACGATGATAAAAGAAAAAGAGCACGCATTCAGTGTCGATATAAATACATATACACATATATATGTAAAAATACATACACGACTTTTAATATGCATATATACGTATGTGCAAACAGCATATAAATATGCATCACATATATCTATAAAAATAAAGATATACGACTAAACACTCACACACACACACACACAAACAGACAAACACACACACGCACACACAGACAAATACACACACACACACACACACAGACACGTATATATATATATATGATTTATATACATGGATATATACATAAAAATACATAAATACAAACATACATACATACAAACATACATACATACACACATACATTCATACATATACATATACATATGTATATATATATATATATATATATATACATATAGATGCAGATCCCCATTACGCACTTAAATGTTTTATATGGGGAAAGCCCAATACGATGAGTATATAAATATGTACCATCACACAAACATACTGTTCTTTTTCTTACGTTTTTGATCTTGAACATACATAATACGATAAGCATATACACACAAACGTACCGCTGATTTCTTTGACGTTATTGAACTTGAATAGACTAGAACCTCCCAGCTTATTAAGACTCAGCCAGAGGCGTGAACCCTAAGTAGGAGAAGCGTCTGGTACTCAGAAATCGAGGACGCATAGATGTTACGTATCCACGTTGCTCTATGTACATGATAGGGATCAAACCCTAAAACCCCTAAGCCCTAAAACCCTAATATAACCTCTAAACCCAAATACGACGCTGAATACAGACGTACTCACGTAACACCCGAATGAGCTTCATGAGAAAGGAACACCTTGTCAATGAACACTTGTGCACATGCACACTCGCACGCTGGAGTGCAACTACGCGTTCTATTTTAGGATGAGACACGACGGGAATAAAGCTGCC